GGTTTTTCAGCATACATACACTGTGTTTCATCTCTAAGAATTCTCTAACTGAGAGAAAACATCAGAAACTAAGAAGACAGAATTAGTAGATTTTTCCCAATAAGTACCCTTTTTTATAAAACTTTAGAAAAATTCTTCTTGTAATTACCCTAGAAATTACAATGCATATAAAAACAATGTAAAAACCATACAGTACTGCAGCTCTAATCATTCTCCTGATTTTTGCTTTTTCTCATATATTTTACTTTTAAAATGACTTTTTTTTTCTGCAGTTGTGTGTATGTCTGTGTGTCTGTTACTGGTAATTGAACCCAGTCCTAGCACTGAGCTATAGTCTCAGCTCTTTTTTATTTTGCAACAGGGTCTTGTTGCCCAGGTTGGCCTTGAACTTAGAATCTTCCTGCTTCAGCCTCCTAAGTAGCTGAGATGGGCGCATCATAGAGCCTGGCACCATTATGTTTTCTCTTGACATTCACTTGGTATGCTAGTGACTCATGTAGGGGTGATTTTACTTTGTCAGGGCTAGCTGATGACAGTTTTGTCCTTCTGTTCCATCACCTTTATTTATAAAGCATATAGTTCATCTGAAATGCCAACATTGTTGGGTATTTATCACAGTACAATCATTTTGGTGGGGTTTGAAGTCCTGCCTCCACCTGTCTGACATTTTTTTGTTTTCTGAAAACTGTACTTCTGTCTTCAGTCTTTCAGCTTCTATTTCCAGCTGGATATTTAGAGTCTTCTGCAAAATTTGTAATTAAGAATTATCTAGGGCTGGGGATTTAGCCCAGTGGTTCTGTCACCTGCCTTGCAAGCACAAGGTCCTAAGTTCGATCCCTGGTACCAAAAAAGAATTATCTAGTTACTACAGGGACATTTGCATGTTTTTGAACTTGCTTCTTGTTACCTCTTTTCTGAGATTGTTCCTTTTGCAATCTTATATATTTTTGGCAGCTCCTAATTATGGTCTTTTCTGCCCGATTTCCTTGTTGATTTTGGACTTTATTACAAGTTCTGGGATGAAACTCGAATAAATTTGAAGCTTACTTTGTTTACTGTTTTTCTTTGAAGGATTCTAGTCTCTAATGTTTTGCTTGTATTTGTTGCTCTCTAATAATTTCATATACTTATTTTACCTGTATTGCCTACATTTGTGGTTGTTTTTGACTTTAGGAAAGTGTCACACAAACATCATGGCAAGAATTAAAAATGAAGGTTTCTTCAATTTGGTGTTTGATGTTATTTGTACTTTTATGGGTTTTTCATGTATTCTTCTGTAAAGATAACTTTTCAGATCAGAGAGTCAGATATCTTAAGAGGATCATTGCCTCTTGATGACAGATAAGATATAAACACTCTCGTTTAGTTTCCAGTATAGAGTCTATGTGATATCAGTAGATGGGTCGGTAGATACAATGTGGTAGCACTAGATGAGCCATTTGCAGTATAATTTACATACCATCAAAAAGCCAAAGGGAACACTGGTTTGGGAACTAGGTAGCTTGCCAGTAAATGTGGCTGACTATGTATGATACAAAGTTACTTATCTACTTTGTAAAAATTCTTGTGAGTGGTAGTGGTTCATTTTTAAAGACAAGGTATAGTATGTACCTCTTTTTTCCTGGTGTAAAATTGTACTAATCTGTGTTCTTTTATAGGATTTGCAAATTTAATATCTCCCACCCCCAATACTGTGGTTTGAACCCAGGGACTTTTCACTGAGCTGTATCCCCAATGCTTTTTTATGTTTTGATACAGTGGCTCACTGAGTTGCTCAGGCTAGGTGCAAATTTGTGGTCTTCCTCCTTCAGCCTCCCAGCAGGCTGGTGTTAGAGGTTTGTACCACTATGCCTGGCCAAGATTTGTACTTTCAGTGGTCACATAAACTGTTCGGCGTGATTCACATTAATCTTGAGATTAATTTATATATCATCACAGTTCCCTAGTTTTAATCACATTGATTGTATTTTTCCCTGTTCTGTTCACGCATTTTTGTTGTTTTTGTTCTCTTACAGCATCTGCTTTGCCTTTAACTTGTAGTTAATTTTGTCTTTACTCCTAAGTTTCTCTCCTGATGAGAATACATACTGTAGTATTGTGTTCTTTAGGCATGAGTAGCTCATTTATCTCTGACCTACACAGTATTTTATTATGTAAATACTTCTGTAAACTTTTCTGTTACCTTATTATTCTCTACTAGAAGACTTTTCATTCTGTCTGTTCATTTGTTAATGTTAAATCACTGCAAATAAAATGTAGAAATCATTTACTCCCTTCTATAGCCTTTGTTATTTTTGTCCTATGTATTACATAGCATTATAATTGTATAATTCAGTGGTAAAATTTTTGGTTTATGGCTGGGGATTTAGCTCAGTGGTGCTGCTGCACCTGTCTCATAAGCGCAGTGTCCTAAGTTTGATCCCCTGTACTGCCCCTCCCAAAATATATATAGACAGAGTTATAATTTATATACCATAAATTTACCACTTATAAGTTTACATTGCAGTGAGTTTTAGTAAATATCAATGTTGCAGTCATCATCATAATTTTAGAACATTTTACCTTTGGAAATTCATTAAACCTGAATTAAAAATGTGTTTATGCACAGATGTTTGAGATGGTTCTCTTATAAAATTAATTTTAAGTATTTTGCAGCTCTTCTCCTGTGCCTTAATATGTTTTACTTATTACTGTACTCTTAAAAGTAGCAGTCCTGGATTGAACCTAGGGATACTCTACTTCTGACCTATAACCCTAACCCTTTTTAATATTTGTTCCGAGGCAAGGTCTCACTAAATTGCCCAGGCTGGCCTTGAGTTTGTAATCCTCCTAAGTCTCCGGAGCAGCTGGGATTACAAACATGTACTATGTCTGGCCTGTTTTATTTATACATAGTAAGAATTTGCTGCTTCTCTGAAGTGTCAATCACCATGTTTTTGTTTTTGTTATTTTTCTTCAGAATTTCCATAATATTAAGTATTGAAACATTTTAAGATTCTTGTCTAGATTCCGATTAGCAGTTGTTTTCAATAGATATGATTTATCATGTTGATAAATTACCTCTTTTATAAAAACAGTAATAGGGCCGGGGATTTAGCTCAGTGGTTCTGTCACCTGCCTCGCAAGTACAACAAGGTCCTGAGTTCAATCCCTGGTATCAGAAAACAAAACAAAACACAGTAATAGAGATTGAACCTATTGCCTTCACACTGGGCTATATTTCCAGCCCTTTTATATTTTTGAGGCAGGGTCTTGCTGAACTGCCCAGGATAGACTAGAATTTTTGATTCTCCTACCTGAGCCTCCAGAATAGAGACATCACTAAACTCAGTTAGGTATTAACTTTCTAATTTTGGCTTTCTAAGAGTTTGGCCTGCTAGGCAATTGAATATATTTGGAATTCAGCCCTTCTGCACTTTCAGTAGTTATTGAAAGTTTATAGGCCAAGGATTTAGCTCAGTGGTTCTGTTGCCTGCCTTAAAACATAAGGACCCAAGTTTGATCCCCAGTATTAAAAAAAAAGCCTAAAAACATAAATACCAATTTTTTAAAAAGAAAGTTTATATGCATTTTCCCCTTTACTTTAAAAATATATGGCAAATTGTGGAATTTTTAAATGGATTATTAGTTTTACTTATTTTGGACTGTTGGGGATTGAACCCAGAGCCTAAAAAGTGATAGGCAAGAGCTGTACCATTGAGCTACTTTCCTAACCCATAAAATGTTTTCCTAGTATCAAAATCTTTTACATTCCTGTGATTGTATATTTTATCCAGACAATATTTTCATGTCCTATAAAATTTGGCTTGTTAATATTAGAGTCTTCTTGTCTATTTTTATAAAGAAAATTGGTACCTAACTTTCCATTTTGTTCTGTTTCTGAGATTTTGGCTACAAGGTTATACTACCTTCATAAAATTAATGAGCTAGCTTCCCTTTTTGTCCTCCCTATGGCCTGAAAAGTTCCCCTGGTAAAGGCTTTTTTCTATTGAAGGCTATTTTAAAGGTAATTCATTGCTGTTATTTGTAATCTGTTATCATTTCTTCTTTACATCAGTTTTAGTAATGCATTTTTTTCTTAGAAAATTATCCATTTCATTGGTATTTCAAATTTATTAATGTAGACTTGTATATGACCAATCTTTATCTTTGTTTATAGTACTACTCAAATTTCTGTATTTTCCTCTACTGGGTTATTCGAACAAACATGAATTTTTCTTTTTAAAATACCAGTTCCTGGATAATTTTATGAGTTTTGCTGTATAGTTATATTGGTCAGCTTTTATGTTGCTGGGACAAAATGCTTGACATGTATATCCTGAAGGAGAAAAGATTTATTTTGCTTCATTGTCTCAGTACGTGATCTGCTGGCTCCAAGGCAGATACATTATAGTAGAAGAGTATGGTGGAGGAAAGCCTTTTGTGGTGTGGGGGGATATTTTAGATAAAATCACCATAATAGTGTTATTTTTTAATTTCATTTTTGTATTTAAAAAATAAATTTTATTGTATATATTTGAAGTTTACAACTCAGATGTATGGGATACCGATAGATAGTAAAATGGTAACTAAAGTAAATTAACATACCTGCTATTTCACATAGTTATTTTATTTTTGTGTGATTAAAAACAGCTAAAACCAACTTATTTAAATTCCCTAATAGAATTTTAACTTTAGTTCTTTAGCTTGAAGGACTTGTTAGATCTTTAGACTTCATCTTACATACCTGCAGTTTTGTGTGCTTTGGCTCACATATTCCTATTTCTTCTACTAGAAGCAGTTTTTGTGTCTTTTTTTTTTTTTTTTTTTTTTTTTAATGGTACCAGGGATTGAACTCGGGTCCTTGCGCTTGAGAGGCAGGTGGCTGAACCACTGAGCTAAATCCCCAGCCCTATGTGTCCTTTTTGACATGGTAGTTTACAAATGCTTGTATTTTCAAAGAACTGATTGCACAAACTTAATCTATTTTTACAGTGGTCCTTTCTTTGTTCTTTTTTTAGGCACGAGATGTACGTACCAATGAAGTGGTGGCCATCAAGAAAATGTCTTATAGTGGAAAGCAGTCTACCGAAGTAGGTTAAATATATATACATTTTTATAAGCATATAGAGGACATAGCATTTTTAATTGAGATAAAGGGTAGGAATTTTTAATGTATAATATACATAAAGAAATGTATATAAATCTTATATATATTCAATGACTTTTCTTTCAATGATAGTACCCATTTAACTACTAACTAAAGCCTAAACAAAAAAATTAGGAGCATCCCCATAACCTTCTAAATTGTGTCCCCAGTTTTAGTTTTCTAAACTATGGTTCAGTATATCAGTGTATGCATCTCTTGGAGGAATTATTAGTTTCTTAAAAAGTTTAAGTACAAGGTCCAGGGATTTAGCTCAGTGGTTCCAGTGCCTGCCTCACAAGTGCAAGGACCCAAGTTTGATCCCTGGTACCGGAAAAAAAAAAAAGTCACGAAAAAGTTTAAGTACAGGGACAGGGATTTAGCTCAGTGGTTCCGCTGCTTCCCTGGCAAGTGCAAGGTCCTGAGTAAAAGTTTAAGTACAATAAGATGAATTTCACAGTAAATTATATGGGATATAATCTTTTTAAATGGGTTAGAAATTGTTTGATAGTTGTTTTAAACTTTAATTAACAGGTCATTAATTTGAAAAACCAAAAAATTGAAATCAATCCTGCATTGTATAGTTTTATTATTCTGATGCTTTTTAGGTTATATTTATTCTGCTTAATTACATAAATGTATTTGTAAAATGTAATCTTTGGCAGTCTGGGGTTGCTACAGTCTTTAACTTTTATTTTTAATTATGGTAAAAATGTATATACAACAAAGTTTACCATCTCTTAAACATTTTTAAATACAGTGAACTCCTGACTTAAGAAAACTCAGTTCATTCTCTAGGGCTGGTTGTTACTCAGGTTGGTCAGTTGAAGGCTCAGGCTCCTGTATACAGCCTTCAAGGTCTCTCTCCTATATACAGGAAGATCTTAGTGTCCTTATAAAAACCAAGGATTTCTTAATTAACCCTACAAAAGAGGAAGTTGTAATGTTCCTTTCAGAACTCTTTAAGAGTTAAACCTGTGTCTGAGACCATCTGGAAACACAAGTGGCCGGCATTTGGGTCATAACTGAAGATTTTGTTCATGAATTAAAACCAAATTCCAGTCGTAATCCAAGTTGTAGGCCAGTTGTAACTTGAGGGTCCAGTGTGTACAGTTCAGTAGCATTAAGTACATTCACATTGTTTTGTCACTGTTACCACCATCCTGCTCCAGAATGCTTTTCATTTTGCAGAACTGAAATTCTGTACTCACTAAACAAAAATGCCCCACCCTCTAGCAACCACCATTCTACTTTGTTTCTGTTATGAATTTGACTACCTTAGATATTTCATATAAGTAGGACCATTCAATATTTGTTCTTTTGTGAATGGCTTGTGTCATACAATTTAATGTACTGAAAGTTTTCCATGTTGTAGAATGTGATAGACTTTTCTTTCTTTTATATCCATTCACACACTCATAGCTCACATTTATATTCATACCATCTATAAATATGTACACTTGGGTTGCCCATTTGGGTGGCTGTTGTGAATAATGATACTATGAATACAACTGTACAGGTAGTTCTTTAAGTTCCTGCTTTCAGTTCTTTTAATTATATGTACAGAAGTGGAATTGCTGCTTTTCTTTCAAATACTTTGTTTTCCTAATTTTTGAATTTAATTTTATATTGAATCTTGTTCTTGTGATGATTATACTATGGGTATGATACTATTATATCATTTTCCATCATTTTAATATTTAAATTAACATTTCTTGTAGATTTAATTTCATTTACTGTTGTATAAACTTTAGGACTAGCTTTCATAGGCTACCAATTATATATTATGTAGAAAGTCTAATTGATCAGTCACACCGAGAACAAAACATATTTACAGCATTTTAACATCTAATATTGGTATTCTTCATGGAATTTTATTTCATAGATTAGTTTTTATTAAGATTTTGCCTCCCAAAGTACTCAAATTTGAAATTTAAAGCCCAGTTGAACAGATGTTCTGAATGTAACATTTTATAATACATCTTACACATTTGATATAGAACACTGAACATATTTTGACGTTTGAGGACTTGTGAAATAATATCAGAAGTAGAGGTTCTTAAATGTAGTGCAAAACATTTAAAAATTTTTTTCTGGGCTGGGGATTTAGCTCAGTGGTGCTGCCACCGGCCTTGCAAGTGCAAGGTCCTGAGTTTGATCCCCAGTATTCCCCCCCAAATTTTTTTTTTCTAATACACTACTTTTCCTACCCTTAATTGTATAGCCTAAATAACAGTAAAACTTTAAAAAACTTAAAACAAGAGCACAAAAGAGTTTGGTAGTCTCCATCGTACAACTACCAAACCTCTAGAATTTCTGGATATGGACCCAAGGACCTATATTTTTAGAGTTCCATAGTTACTTTTTTTTTTTTCTCCCAGTATTGAGGATTGCACCCGGGGCCTTCACACTGAGATATATCCCCAGCCCTTTTTAGAATTATTTTTTGAGAGAGTCTCATTGAGTCACTAACTTGCCTAGACTGGGTTAAAACTTGTGATCCTCCTGCCTCATCTTCCCAGCAGTGCTCAATGACTAGGTATATGCCACCATACTTGGTTTTATTCTTTTTCTTTTTTTAAGTATATCATCCAGTGTATTATTTTGTTCCCTCTGCCTGGAGATGGTTATTCTTCTGTCCATTAAATTACCTTCAGTCTGTTTAAACCCAGGTCCTTACATGGGCTTTGGTGGGGGTCTTGGAGAAGCACCAGTAGGTCTAAATCGGGGTGGAGGTGTTCAGTCATTCCGGTCTTCAGGAGATCCATTCCTGACCACCTTGCTGTGAATGGCACAACTCACACAGTAATGCAGCTTCACATAGAGCTTGGGAAGCACATAAACGTAGAAGACCCTCACTTTGGAAATATCCCATACGGTAGCTGCCTTATCTTTGGTCATGCACTGGGTGCAGTTTGTGCAGCAAATAGGCTGCACATGGCCATGGCCCTTATTGGCACAACCATTGTTTCTTCTTTTTTCATCTTGTAAGGGAGGATCTGAAAGAGTCTTGGTTTTATTCTTATATATTTTTCCATTATCTCTAAAGCCAGGAGGATTACACATTTGAGCCCTAAAAAAAAAAAAATGACTGGGGATGTAAGTGGGTTGATAGGGCATCCCAGGTTCCAATACCCATTACTGAAGAAAAAAACAGGAGTATTGCCTAAATGCTTAAGGTTGTTGTGGAGTAGCTTAAGGCCAAATATAAGTATCTGTATTTCCTGCTCAGTATTAGTGGGGAATGCTCTTAGCAATGTACATGGAAAAGCTTTTTATACTGCTTCTTCCCGGATTTTCCTTGTACAATAACTATTCCACTAGCAATTTAGAATTTTCATTTAGAAATTTCAGAGGAATTATTTCATTTGAATTAAAAATAAAAGACAAACTAACCCTAACAATTTGATAGAGAAAATAAACCAAAAATACAATACAGTGAACTTTATGGCAAGAAAATTAGGGCTACAAGGCTGTTAATAAAAAAGGAAAAGTTAGCTGGGTGCGGTGGCACACGCCTGTAATTCCAGCACTCGGGAGGCTGAGGCAGGAGGATCACTGTGAGTTGGAGGCCAGCCTGGGCCTACATAGTGAGTTCCAGGTCAGTCTCAACTACATAGTGAGACCCTGTCTCAAAAAAAAAAAAAAAAAAAGGAAAGGTTAGACCTTTGAAGAAATGTCACTAAACGTGGATCATCAACATGTTTGATGATGTATGACTATAAAATTTTAATAAGATTCATTGATCATAAATTTTATCTAGCTAAAATTTGTCCGTCCTTGAATGAAATAATTTTGTAGGTTATATAATTGAGTCATAAACTATGAGTCACTTTTAAAAATTTTTTTTATTTTGATATTTCATCTAAAAATTTTAAGTCAACAGAGTTGTATGTTCTTGTTAACCCAATGAAATCATTACTTTCTTCTTCTATAACTTTCTAAGGAAAACCAGCTGTTCATAATTCTTTTCCTTATTCCTTTTTCTCTCCCCACAGAAATGGCAGGATATTATTAAGGAAGTCAGGTTTCTACAAAGAATAAAACATCCCAACAGTATAGAATACAAAGGCTGCTATTTACGTGAACACACAGCATGGGTTGGTATCTGTACCTTCTTTGTTGCAATTTTAGTTGGTTTTGGTTTAGAATGGAGTAATTCAAAATGTCTCAAACCTGCTTGTTTAAAGGCATACAAAAATACCATAAATGTTAGTTCATCCTGAGAGAGGAAGTGCAGCATTCCTCTTCTAGCATCCTAGACCTCATAGGCAAAAAGAGGTACTAGAATTTTTGCAAGTCTCCTGTAGATTTTACCCAGAATTCTGCTGACCTTCATATAAATGGTAAAATGTCCTCTGGTACTGTCAGTGGTACCATCCAAACATTGTAAAAACAATCTATTGCTTGAGAATGAAAGTTAACATATCTTTTTAACATAAATGGATTTTTAAGTCATTCAAGCAGAAGTATCTCAGTTTGAACTGATCATGATTCCTTGGCTGAATAATACTAAAGGTAGAAAATTGAGGTACTTTCTTATAAGAACTAGAGATTTCCATCCCCGGTACCAAAAAATCGCCCAAAATTAGAGACTAATTTTATCATGTTAACATTGAGGCAATATCACAGTAATTCTGCAGTGCTACCATATTTGCATAGTAACTGTATTTTTTAAGAGAAATATTAAATTTCCTTTAAACAGAAATTATTCCTTATTTTGAATAATAAAACACAGCTAATTATCATTTTAATATAGTTGGCTTAGATTTGTAATATATCTGGGATTTTTATTTAATTTGATTTTGGTGATGATGGTTCCTAAAATTGAGAGTATGGTTAAAGAAAAAGCAGTGACAATGGGAAGGTTAATTCTGTGTCTCTTAATTTTCTCCCTTTATAAAATAAGGATAATAATAAAGCATAACTTTTAAGGTTGTTGTGAGGATTAAATTGGTTAATATATATAAAACATCTGGCACAGAAGTGATGCTCTGTGTTTACTTTAAAGGAAACATTTAGAGCTGGGAGTGGTGGTACGTGCCTATAGTCCAGCTATTTGAGAGGCTAAGGTAGGAGGATCACTTGGGCCAGGAGTACAAAGCCAATCTGAGCAACATAAAGAGAATCTGAAAGAAAAAAAAAGGGAGAGAGAGAAGCAGCTATTTAAGCTGTTACCTTTAAGCCTTGTTTATATAGTTCCAAGGTTTAATTTTCTACCTTTTAACAACTTTGAAGTTTAATAGTAACAGTTGTATGTGTGTATATGTGTGTGTATATATCTAATGAAATCCATAGGTTATAGAAGTTATTAAATGTTGGCATTAAAAGATAAATGTGTCTTTGGCTTATTTTATACATACATTTAATTACTGAGTGTATTTTTTTAGATGAATGATGACTGGAATTTGTTTTACTTCACTCCAATTGACTTCCTGGGTAAAATAATTTTTATCTCAGATAGAATAAATGTTCATATTTTAATGCTTCGATAATTTTTCTTCCATAGCTTGTAATGGAATATTGTTTGGGATCCGCTTCAGATTTACTAGAAGGTAGGTTTCCTTTGATTATTTTAAAAAAGAGTATTAACACAATAAAATGATCATTCATTTAGAGATTGTTTAAACAATGTTAACACTGAAAAAACATGAACTTTCTAGGAAGAGTGAGGTCCTTATCCTTTTTTGGAATGCCAGTACAGTACAGTATGTGCTCTTCTTATAAATCTGACATGCATATATAAAATAGGAAAGTTTTCCTTCCCTGTAACTTTTCCAGAATTTTTCTGGATTCTTTGTCATACATCTCGATCTGCTCCTTCTGTTCAGAACAAAGTGTGAATAATGGAAGAACTAGTTTTGTTTTAATGATCACCAAATAATTGCTCAATATTGTTAGCTAAGGGCAGGTGTAATGGCACATACCTGTAATCTTAACACTCAGGAATCTGAGGCAGATAGGAGGACTGTAAGTTTGAGGCCATTCTGAGTTGCATAGCAAGAACTGTCTCCACAAAAAAGAAGAGAAAAAAGAAAAGTTTACCTAAGAAGGAAATTGGCTGAGGATTATATTTAACAGTCAGCACAGCTGTGTACTAGTTATGAAGTTCAGTACCCTGGTTTTGTCATTGAGGGAGATAAATCTCTTGCTAAATGTCTTTTTAAAAATTGCTCATACATCAGTTATGTATGTTTATTTTTTAAACAAAATGTGATAGATAATAATTATCTTTAAATAAATTCTTATTTTAAGTTCACAAAAAGCCACTGCAAGAAGTGGAAATAGCAGCAATAACACATGGTGCTCTCCAGGGATTAGCCTACTTACATTCTCATACAATGATCCATAGGTAAGTACTTTGAAAATTATATTGACAAGCATATGGCATGTTGTATTTATCAGCCCTGAAGATTACTAACCTTGAAAATTTTGTTGTTTTTATCCAAACAGAATTGTATAAACTCATTTTTTATTGTCCATATTTTTTTAAATGTAGTAATACACTTAATCCCTGTATTTATGATAATTTTTATCTTTGCCTACCTGTACCACTGGGCCTTCTAAAGATTTTACACTTTGTGGTTTGTGATAGAAATTTCATTATAGAAGGATGTTAGGCATTATGTAGTTTGTCTTTTTCATTTTATAGGTGAAGAAACTGATGCCTCAGTTTGTGATTATAATTTCCTGAAGGTTGCAAAGCCAAATAAATTAGAGTTAGAATTTAACAATCCTTTGTTTTCCTGGTAACTGTTGCAGATTTGCTTTTCCCATGACATGAACAAAGACTACTTTTGAGTGTTAATCCTTGGCAATGGGTACTAACCATGAGGTTAAAATACTACTTTAGGGGCTGGGGATTTTGCTCAGTGGTTCTGCTGCATGCCTTGCAAGCACAAGGACCTGAGTTCAATCCCCCAGTACCAAAAAAATTTTTTTTAATATTACTTTATAATTTTAAAAATTGGTTTTAGCTGTTTTAGAAAGAAACTAGCAATACATATTAAACTGTCATTGGATTGTTGTGAATTAATAGATTAGCATTTTTTAGATTAATTTAATAAAATCCAAGATAAATCTAATGCTAGCAAATGAATGGATAGAACTGGAATTAGAATCTAGGATATTCTTATCTACAAAGTACCTCTCTGTGAACAAGGCCCAAGTTTCAGTCCCCAGCATCCCTTTAAAGACAACAACTGCATGGCGTGGTGGCGCATTCCTGTAATCCCAGCATTCAGGAGGCTGAGGCAGGAGGATCACTGTGAATTCGAGACCAGCCTGGGCTACATAGTGAGTTAGTTCCATCCAGGTCAGTCTCAACTACATAGTGAGACCCTGTCTCAAAAAAAAACAACAGTAACAACAACAAAAAACAACAACAACCAAAACTAACTAAATAACATTACACTCTCCATTTTAAAAAAACAAATGGAAGAAAAATGGATTCAGTTAATTTTTTTTTTTTTTTTTTTTTTTTTTTTTTTTTTTTGTTTTTTTTTTTTTTTTTTTTTTTTTTTTTTTTTTTTTTTTTTTTGGTACCAGGGATTGAACTCAGGTCCTTGCGCTTGCAAGGCAGGTCACTGAACCGCTGAGCTAAATCCCCGGCCCCACTTAATTTTATATGCACTAAAATACTTTGATAAGAATTAACAGATGCTTGAAAATTTATTTTTCTTTTTTATATTTGAAAAGTTAGGAGTATGTTACAGTGCTCATATACAGTCCCATTATATAAGAATCTATAACTTTCTTAGTTTGGTTGTTTACCATTTCAAAAAAGCAGCTTTGAAAATAAATTTGGGATCATTCTCCATATATTTTAGTTTTCACATTTAGGAGAACGATGCTAAAATTTTTAAATGGTGTAAATTAATTCTTTTTTTTTTTCAAAAGCTAAGTTTAAACTTTTTCTTTTTCCTATAGTATTAACTGAGGTATTCAAATCTTACATATCATGCATAAAGGGATGAGTGCTGGGGGATTTAGCTCACTGGTGCTGACACCTGCCTTGCAAGTGCAAGGTCCCGAGTTTGATCCCTGGTACCAAAAATCAAACAGACAAAGGGATTATGAGTCAATTACAGTGGACCCTTGACTTACAAACTCAGTCAGTTCCCGAGGGCTGGTTGTAAGTCAATACAACTGAGATCTGAATGTTTATCTTGTATATGCTATGGATAACAAGAGGCAGATGACTCTTCCATTAACCTAATTAACTCAAGTTGTTCATATGTCAGGCCAGTCATAACCTGCAGGTCTACTGTACATAAATTGTATTTTGAAAACCATTATTTATACCAATAAACATCTTCAAATATAGATTTTATGTTGTAGTTACCTAATTTTTGTCTTTTTAAACTATTTTTCTTCTCTTTTAGAAAATTGTTACTATATATTTTATTTGAATTCTCTATTTTATTACATTTCTCCATGTCTTTAAAATTTTTATTTGATCTTTATCATTTTAACACAATCTAATGAAGGAATAAATAATTTTCTGTGTTCTTTAAACCCAGAGATATCAAAGCAGGAAATATCCTTCTGACAGAACCAGGCCAAGTGAAACTTGCTGACTTTGGATCTGCTTCCATGGCATCCCCTGCCAATTCTTTTGTGGGAACACCATATTGGTAAGAAAAGTCTTATCTACTATTGATCCTCATAATTGAAAAAGGCAATGTGTTGTTATATTTTTTGAAACTGTGATACCTCTGGATATTTGGCTTTAAATAATTCATTTTTGGGGGTTTTTTTGGGTACTGGGGATTGAACTCAGAACCTTGCGCATATGAAGCAGGTGGCGGAACCACTGAGCTAAATCCCTAGTCCTTTGTGTAACTCTTTTTAAACATAGATTTGGAGTACTGTCATTGCATCTCCTTTTTATCTTTTTTTGTTTTCATCTTTTCATTTCTATTTCATTTTATCCCTGCCATATTTGCTTTTGTATTACTTTTTGGGGAGGGTGTCAGGGTTCAAACTCGTGTCCTTGAGCTTGCGAGGCAGGCAGTGGAACCACTGAGCTAAATACCTGGCCTGCTTTTGTGTTACTTTTTACATCATATATTATGGGAATGAAAAAAATCAAGGGGAGGATATAGACATGCTAAATGGTAATTTGTATGTTTTCTTTAAATTTAAATTTACTAGGTATCACTGATCTTCAGTCCAATAATACTTTTAAGGACTGGTAATTTTTTCAATTTTTTTGTTCTGACTTTTTTTTTTTTTTTTGTACCGAGGATTGAACTTGGGTCCTTGCACTTGCAAGGCAGGTGGCAGAACTGAACTAAATTCCCTGCCTTAAACTTTTACTTTTTTTTTTTGGTACCGGGGATGGAACTCGGGATCTTGTGCTTGCAGTCAGGCAGCAGAACCACTGAGCTAAATCCCTGGCCCTTGTTCTGACTTTTTACTATAGAAAATTTCAAATATATATACAAGTTAACTTAAGTCTGAAGATTTCATATATGCCAGTTACCCATAGCCTGTCTTGCATTATGGACTGTCATTTCTTCCCAGTCTGGTCATTTTGAACGAAGTCTTAGACATTATCTAATGTCATCTGTAAATAATTTAGTATGTACCTTTCATCAAAAGTTTAAAGGGAATTACTTTGTTGTTGTTGGGTTTTGGATTTTTTTTTTTTTTTGTTTTTTTTTTTTTTTTTTTTTTTTTTTTGTGCTGGGGATATGCTCACGAGGCAGGCCATGGAACCACTGAGCTAAATCCCCAGCCCCTAAAGGGAATTACTTTTCAGATCTTTAACTCCTATATGTATCCTCTTTATATACAGTGAGAGTGGTGTCTTAGATCTACTATATCTTCTTTTCTATCTGCGTTTTAAATCTTCCTTAGAAAGACAGCTTTTTGTTTTCTTGGTACCGGGAAATGAACTCGGGACCCAAAGACAGCTTTCTTACCTATCCCAAATATTAGATGCGTTACTCTGGGATGTAAAAGTCTCAGAAGTATACCAGAGATATATTTTGAGAATGTCTTGCATCTGTGAGAAATATTGAAAGGTCAGGGCACACATAGATGGCAAGGTCCTGTGCATTTCTAGTTACCTTCCTTCACTTCCCTTTTACTTGTCTTTCTTTTTTTCCTTCTAAAAGCTCTCTTCTTTTTTTTTTTTTTTTTTTTTTTTTTTTTTTTTTTGTGCCAGGTATCGAACTTGGGTCCTTGAGCTTGTGAGGCAGGTGCTGGTGCCACTGAGATAAATCCCTGGCCCTCTCCCTTGTTTGTATTCCCCCTAGTATAGAATTCTGTCCAGAGACAATTATTGTAGGGGCACATGAATATGTTTAAATTGTGTTGAAAAATGAAGTCAAGCTTTTTCTGACCTAAATCATTCTGATTTATATGAGCTGAAGGTTAGATTTACTAATTAGGTTATATGGCAGTATTTTTAATAAATTGAGTCTACTAAATTCTAGGAGGTAAATGAGTTGAAAAATTGAAAATCTATTTGTAAATGACCAAAAATTTCTTTTGTAGACCATTTCCCTCTAAAAAAATAAATTCTCTGATCCAGTGATGCTTAATGATTTTCATCTTTAGAAATTTTTGATAGATATTAAATATTTTAAATGTCCTAGAAAGTCTTTCATTTAAAAACGCAAGTTACTTCTTTAACTTTTGCTTGTTAGCAACTTCTTAAACTTAATTCAGCATTTTAAAGAAAACTTGTGATGCCAGGCTTGGTGGTGCATGCCTGTAATCCCAGCACTTCAGGAGGCTGAGGCAGGAGGATCATGAGTTCAAGGTCAGACATAGTGAGTTCAAGGGCAGCCTGAACTACATAGTGAGACCCTATCTCAAAAGGGAGGAAGAACATAAAAGATGGGAGGAGAGGAAAGGAGAGGGGGAGGAGGAGAGGGAGAGAGAACTTGTGAAACATCAAGTTACATTATCTTTGGAACCCAAACATTGACTGTATACTTCTCTATACACACTTGTTTGGCATGGCTATTAATCTTATTGAAGCAGTTACAACTCTTTCATAGGTGTTCATCTATGCTTACCACCAAATACAGATAAAATGTAAAGTACCATCAAGAATATTGCATTCTAGTTGTGGGCATGAATTGGGTTTTGAGTTTATAACTAATATATCCATAAGGTTGATAGCTGTGTGATTGAGTTGTGAATTGCCCTAGCCACTCTTATCATTTAATACCCTTTTGTTGCTGTTGTTGTTTGTTTTTGTTTTTGAGCGGCATCTATAAACTATGATTTTTTTTTTCTTAGTTATTATGGCAGAATTTCTCAGGTAACTGAAGGGAGATTGTCAGTTTAAGAATAACTGACAGTGTTTGTTGCCCATGGAAAAATTCAATTTTTGAAACAAAAATTAGATTTTTTTTATCTTGAAACCAATGTTTATGAACTACTGCCTTAAAGGATATGTAATTTTGGAATCTGCAGATTTGAACAGATACAGAATACAACCTTGCTCTGGAATTCTTCTTTTGGGATGCTATTATATGGTCATGACAATATGGAGAATGAACCTAACATTTTATATGCATTGCTAAATATTTACCTCACAACCTCTAATGTAATTGTTTCTAATTATAAAAATTATGTCCACACATGGCTAAAATTAAAAACCATGTCCTCCATACATATCTGGTCCTTATATTCTCAAAAAATAGCATACTTTATTAAAACTTTAATTGAAACAAACATTTTATGTTTTAGGATGGCCCCAGAAGTAATTTTAGCCATGGATGAAGGACAGTATGATGGCAAAGTTGATGTATGGTCTCTTGGAATAACATGTATTGAACTTGGTAAGGACTGTTCTTCATTATATATATTTTACTTGCTACTTAATTAGGACTAACATAGTTTTACCACTGTGGTTTTGAGTTGAGCTGTCTCTGTCTAACATTAATGAATATTTGTTAAACCCATAAACTGCCTATCATTACAAGTTTTATTATCTGTGAAAGGACCCAAAAGCATTCAGTTGTAAATTTAGGTATGAAAGAAAATTAGACATCAGGCTTTATATCATATTGTACCAGTTTGATTTTTTCTTTTAAGATGGTAAGGCAGACTTTATACAAGGCCTATGGTGGTAGGTATAAAAATCAATATAGTGATGCTTGCAGTTTGGAAAGGAGATTGGACTCAACTCCCTTAGCAATTTTGATTGTATGCATGCATCTTGTTTTGTTGCTTCTAAGTGGGAATATGCTAAAAACAGTGGACCATTATAATTTACTAAATAAGGTGGGTAGATAAACCATTACTGAGTTTATTGTCAGCTTGTCCCAAGCAAATAAAAACTCACTTTTCCCATTGAGAGGTATGGAAAAATATTAAAATTTGAATCCATTTACCTTATCTTTTATGATTATTCTACTTTGTATTATACTTGATATGAATTCTTTCTCTTTGATGTTTTTACTGGGTATTGTTTTTGTGAGATTTGCTTTTTGAACATTGTGGTTTTTCATCTCATTTCCTTTTCAGTTTGGGTGATTTTTATACAGGCAATCCATTTAAGGACAGAGACATTTTGGAAACATGTACACAAGAATAAGGAATAGGTTCTCTGTACCTTTTTGTAAAATAAATTAAGTTTAAATCAAATTTAAGTTTAGTAGTGGTTTATAAGATTTTGAGAAAGTGTTAGTTTAATCTGCCAAATTAAAGACCATAATAATTATCTTAGAAACAGATATTTTATGTTTTATTTATTCATTCATAATTTCTTCAGTAATCCTTTCCCCTTCCCCCACATTATTTAATCTTAAAAGCTACTGGGTGGGACAGAGAAGGTAGGTATCTGCATTAGTCAATTTTCTGTCATTGGGCACAACAACTGTGATAATAATTTAAAGGAGGAAAGGTTTATTTTGGCTCACAGTTAAAGAGATTTCAGTTCATGATTGGCTATATTGTTTCAGGGCCTGTAATGAGGCAATAGTGCATCATAATGAAAATGGGTGGCAGAGCTAAGCTGCTTACCTGATGGTGGCCAGGAAGGAGAAAGAACACAAAAGCAGGCATGTACTGTCAAGCCTTCTGCTTTCACTTTAGTTCCATCTGGGCCCCAGCCTATTGGATAGTGCTGTCTACATTCAGGACAGTTCTCTCCTCAATTTACTGTCTCACATGCCAGTCTCTCTGGAAATACCTTCATAGACACATTCTGAAGTATGCTTTACTACTAGGTATTTCTCAGTCCATTCAAGTTAACAATTAAAATTAACCATCACAGTATCCACGTCAGATGATGAGCTGTGATAACCCAGTGTGGATAACAGAATCAAATGAATATAGTAAAATGTTCCCATAGCCTGGTGTGTGGTCAGAAACAGATGAGTATTTCTATGCACGTGGCTGTCAGGTGTAGAAATTGAAGCCCAGTAGGGTGACACATGGAAGTGGTTCACCATGAGTTATCAGAGCCTGAGGAGGGTGAGGAATTGACCACCCAGCAGGAACATCCATTATATAGAGTAAAAGTCTGTAAAGAGGCAGATTATATATAGGGGCATCCCAACAGAGTAAGAATATCTAATAAAAATGAAGAGAGTTTCTCTCCTGAGGTATGTATGCATTAACTGTAGAGATGCAACCTGGTTTGAGTGGAGTTTCAGAAACTGAATAGATAGGGCCGAGTGTGGTGGCATCCACACTAAATAAGGTGGGTAGATAATCCCAGCAGTTGGGAGGCTGAGGCAGGAGGATCACTGTGAGTTCGAGACCAGCCTGGGCTACATAGTGAGTTCCAGGGCAGTCTCAACTACATAGTGAGACCCTGTCTCAACAAACAAACAAACAAAATCATCAAGATCATGATTTCAACTTTCTCCTTAAGAAACTAGAAAAAAGGGGCCGGGGATTTGGCTCAGGGGTTCTGCTGCCTGCCTCTCAAGTGCAAGGATCCGAGTTCAATCCCCAGTACCAAAAAAAAAAAAAAAAAAAAAAAAAAAAAAAAAACTAGAAAAAAAAGCCAAACAAGATGGTGTGTGCCTGTAATCTCAGCACTTGAGAGGCCAAGGCAGGACAATGAGGCATTCAGTTCAAGGCCAGCCTGGGCTACATAAGAAAACCCTGTGTATGGGGGGTTTAAATCCAAAGTGAGCAGAGGTAGGATAATACAAAGATTAAAGCAAAAAGTAAGTTGAATGAAACAGAAAACCAGTAAGATGGTCAATAAAATTGATAAATTTTGCCAAAGAGAAAAAACAAAATTTCCAGTATCAAGAATGAGAAGTGACTATATCACTACGAAGTTTAGAGAAATTAAAGGATAACAGGGAAACAAACAATTTCATGTTTGTCAGCTTGACAGTATTCGAGTGCCCCTATATAACATGCACATGTTTTAATAGGGAATTACCTTTTTTACAGCGGAAAGGAAGCCTCCTTTATTTAATATGAATGCAATGAGTGCCTTATATCACATAGCCCAAAACGAATCCCCTACACTACAGTCTAATGAATGGTGAGTATTGCTGAGACATTGTGTAACAGTGTATAACTGAAGTTTTTTTTCGTGATCTGTTATATAGGTAAAATATATTACCTGAAGAGATATTAAAATAGGTTTATATATTCCTCTGTGTTAGTATTTGTCATTGTGTGCACATTTTATAGCATATGTATAAAACTCATTTCAGAGTAAAAGTATAGATATTGTCAACATGGATGCAAAAAAATTATTACAAAAATGTATATCTTTTAAACTTTACGAACATACATAACCCTCATCATATAATATCATATTTAAATATTAATATTGTATAACTATAGTGATACTTGACTGAAGAATGGTGTATAATTTATATGATATAAATCCTAGATAAGAGATTTGACTATCAAAATTGCCAGATAATTGTTTTAAAACTTATCGGATCATTCTAGTTAAGATTATTTACATTGCTGTGCTAATCTTTCTGTTATTTTGTGTTGGCAGTAGAGGTGGTGGTAATGGTATGTGTATGTGGTACATATCCTAAACCTTTCAAAAATATTTTATAGGGGCCAAGGATTTAGCTCAGTGGTGCTGCCACCTGCCTTGCAAGCACAAGGACCTGAGTTCTATCCCTGGTACCACAAAAATAATTTTTTTTATTTTTATTTTTAATTTTTTTAGTTTTGAGACAGTGTCTTGCTAAGACACTAAGTTGCCCAAACTGGGCTCAAACTTGTGATCCTCCTGCCTCATCTTCCCTGAGTGCTGAGATTATAGGCATGTACGCTAAAATTAAGTTCATTCATATAATGAAGTTTATGAAGAAAAGATTGAGAATTTTAGAAAACTGGAATTTTGATCAATGGTAAAATCATAACACAAAATTAATTTCTTAGGCAGACCTAGCATATGAAATATTCTAGGAGAGATCTGAGGTATTTAATAAATGTTTTTAAATTCACAAATAGATATAGAAAATAAGGGTACTTTATCATTTTAAGGATTACATGATTAGAGTACATATATAAGTCTTTACTATGTAGAGATAGATGAAAAAGTTTTTTGGCAGAGTTTAGTATTATGGTACATCTTCATCTGTTTTGTGTAGCTATAATAGAATATCTGAGGCTGCATAATATAAAGACAGACATTTATTTCTCGCAGTTCTGGAATGGGAAGCCCAAGGCCAAGGCCAACACTGGGTTGGGGCTCAGTCTCTGATTTTAAAATGGTGTCTTGAACCCTGCATCTTCTAGAGGAAATCAATGTGCTTTCATATTGCAGAAAAACAAGGAACAGTGAACCCACTTATACACCCCTTTTTATGATCGCATTAATTAATTCATGAGGGCAGTATCTTCATAATCTAAAACACTTTGCATTTGGGCTCCACCTCCTAACACTGTTGCATTGAGATTTAAGTTTCAGCTTTTGAGTTTTGGAGACAAAAAAGCATTCAAACCATAGCATGGTACATATAAGTAATGAATATATTGAATACAGACTGTCTTTATATTATGTTTGAAACTTTGGGAAATAATAAAAAAATTCTTGCCTCCAAGGAATTTAAAATCTCATTTGGATATTGGAGGCAAACATTGATAGAGTAATTACTGTTTAGTCCCTCAGTCAGTGCCCTCTCATGAATAGCACTATTTAATAGCATGTACAGATATTTAATGTTTTAAAAATACCTTATTTTGATTTTTAGGGTTTTTTTTGTTGTTTGTTTTGAGTTTGGGGTATTTTGTTTTGTTTTGGTTTGGTTTTTTCCTTCGGTACCAGGGGTTGAATTTAGGTCCTTGCACTTTCAAGGTGGGCAGCAGAACCACTGAGCTAAATCCCCAGCCCCTTGGGTTTCTAGGTTTTGTGGAAGTCTTATATATTTGCTCAGGGCACCAAATACTCAGCTATAAAAAATACTCTCTCCAGAGCAGAAAGAATGATGTTCTGATGATATACTATATAGAAAATGGTCCAAGGGGAAATAAGAAAGAGGCTAGCTTAAAGAAAAGAAAAAGACAAAAGAAAAACGAAAGGAATGTTATTTTGAATTTGAGTAGGGGAAAAAGTAAATAGGTTTTCCACATTTTTTCCTCACTGTAGTTGTAATAGTTCAGTATGTGGGAGCAGGACTTTGTTTGGTGCTAAGGATCAAACTCAGGGCCTTTTAAGTTCTGTGCACGCTATACCTTGTCTTTGGAAATGGCGAAGATTCATTTGTTGCTTTAGATCACTTTTCATAGACTCATATAAAAGTATATAATCTTTAGCCGGGCACAGTGGCGTGCACCTGTAATCCCAGCACTCAGGAGGCTGAGGCAGGAGGACCGCTGTGAGTTTGAGACCAGCCTGGGATACATAGTGAGTTCCAGGGCAGTCTCAACTACATAGTGAGACCCTGTCTCAAAAAACCAAAAAAAAAAATAAAAAAGTATATAATCTTTGCCCTTTTTTAACCATTCCTTTTTCTCTCTCTCCAGTAAGCACATGGCTTGATTTGTTAATGTATGTGTTTTGTTTTGTTTTGTTTTTAAGGAAATAGCAATATGTTCACTCAGTACTTTCCTTTACAATAGGTCTGATTATTTTCGCAACTTTGTAGATTCTTGCCTCCAGAAAATCCCTCAGGATCGTCCAACATCAGAGGAACTTTTAAAGGTCAGTTCTACAGTACCCTTGTCTGTTTTCAGCCTTGTGTTTTATTATTTTTTAATTCTAAATCAGGGTTATATGTGTATTGTAATAATTTTTACTAAAATATTTTTTTTCCAGGCTGGGGATTTAGCTCGATAGTACAGTGCCTGCCTGGCAAACACAAGATCCTGAGTTTTGATCCCTGTACCCCCCACAAAAAATTTTTTTTTCTAGTGTTACAAATCAAACCCAGGGCCTCATGCATGCTAGGCAGTTACTCTAAACCAAGCTACACCCCAGCACATTGAACTACTGATTTTTTTTTTATTTTTCCAGTACTAGGGATCAAACTTGGGACCTTGTACTTGCAAGGCAGGTGGCGGAACCACTGAACTAAATCTCCAGCTCTGAACTACTGATTTTTAAATACTGTGTTCTCTAGAAACTTTTCTCCCCCTACCCCTTCCCTTCCTCTTTTACTTTCTCCCCTTCCCTCCCACTCTGTGCTAGTAATGTAATCCAGGGCCTTAGGCATAGTATTCTGTCACTGGCTCAAACTCTCAACCTTGGAAACTTTTCTTAGATGCTAAGTTTTTTGTTGTTTTTAAATAAAATAGATGAGCTGCTTTTCTCATTCAAATAAAATCTATAATTAAATAACCAAAATATTACCAAATGGCTAGGTACTTATATAAGTACTGCATAGTAACTGATTGTGCCACTGAAGTGCCCTAGATACTTACATCTGCAAGGAAATATTTGTGAATTATAATTATAAATTGTATGTCAGTGTGTGTGTGATGCTGAGGATCAAACACAGAGCCTTCTACATACTAGTCAGGTGCTCTGCCACAGACCTATACTCCCAGCCCATGTGAATTTTAATTCCTGTAGGACAGTTCTATTTCAAATGGGTTAAACATGGATTAACTTTGGGTGTGTGCATGTGCATGTGTGCATGTGTTATTGGGGATTGATCCCAAAACTTTCACACTGAGCTGCATCATCAGTTCTTTATTTAACTTTTTAAAAATTTTGAGACAGGCAGCCGGGGATTTAGCACAGTGGTGCTGCCACCCACCTCACAAGCACAAGGTCCTAAGTTTGATTCCTAGTATCAAGAAGAAAAAACAAAATTTTTGAGACAGGGTCTCTCCTTAGAGTCTCCCTAAGCTCAACTTGGGCTCGAACTTCATCTTCCTTCCTCAGCCTCCCAGAGTGCTGAGATTACAGGTGTGTGCCACCATACCCAACTTGGATCTAATGTTTTTCATCTACCATAGATTATATATTAATCTGCCCAATCTTAATATAATATGAAAGAAATATGTATGATTATAAAAATATATGGGAGAGCCAGGCTCAGCAGCACAGCGCCTCCTTTGGAAGTGCAAGGCCCTGAGTTCAATTCCCGATGTGTGTGTGTGTATGAGAGAAAGATACATGAATATATGAGAACCTGTGAAAAAATGGATATGGTACTTTTGTTCCAGCTGGCAGTAGCTTATAGTCCTAGCTGCTTGGGGGGCTGTGCAACAAAGCAAGAACCTATCTCAAACAAAAAAAATCCTTTTATGGAAGTCTTTTTTTCTTAATAAAAATATTGTAAGAATTGTAAATTGCATTTCATTTTCAATAGACTTGGTAGCTTAATTTAAATATATGATTAGTATGTGCTTTCTGTTCTCAGAAAAATACTTTGAGAGTTGAATATTTTATTAATACCAGTAATAAATTTTATATAGTTATTAAACTATCTAGATTAGGAAATAGCAAGTAGAATTTGATTGTCACTTTGTAATCCTAAACACTCTTTGATTTTTCACAAAATTTAAACTTTTTATGCCAGTATTTTGCAATTTCAGAGTTCAGTTTATTTTCACTGATAAACAGCTTAAAAGCTGCAAAGAAATTTAAAGACCATATGTATATTTGATAACATTATTTGAAGCCACACTATATAGAAGAGCAATATGAAATTTTAGTAGTGCTTAAGGAATTTTATGCATGACCTTTATTTATGGTCTCAGAAATGAAAACTTCAATAGATAGACATTCCTGGTAGCAATAAATTTTCAGCCTTAATATATCTAAGAATTATAAATAAACTAAGCAACTAGTTATAAATAAAAACTAAGCAAGATCAGGTTAGGGATATAGCTCAATGGTAGAGTGTTTGCCTAGGTAGACCCTGGATTTAATTTCTAGTACAGCAAAAAAATAAAAAAGAGTTAACAGTAATAATCCTAATAATGGAGTTGTTCTTTCTGCTTTCCTGTATTTAATAAAATTAAGCATTAATCATCCTTAGTGTTTTATGCAGTCTTGCTTATACAGCACATAAAGGAGTCCACAGTATCTAAATTCAGGTTGATTAATTCACTTCTCATAAATATTCCTGTTGAAATCAAATATAGGGGCCGGGAATTGGCTCAGGGGTTCTGCCGCCTGCCTTGCAAGTGCAAGGTCCCAAGTTCGATCCCTGGTACCAAAATAAATAAAAGCAAAAGAAACTACAAACAAAAATTGAGCATTGGGCCAGTGATTTAAAGCTCAGTGATTCTGCCTGCTGCCTGCCTTGCAAGCGCAAGGTCCCAAGTTCGATCCCTGGTACCAAAATAAATAAAAGCAAAAGAAACTACAACAAAAATTGAGCATTGGGCCAGGGGTTTAAAGCTCAGTGGTTCTGCTGCCTGCCGCCTGCCTTGCAAGCTCAAGGTCCTAAGTTCAGTGCCCGGCACCAAAAACAAAAAAGAAATTGAATGTAGCTCAGAAATATCAGTTCTTCTGATATGTAAACCTTTATCAACAGGCTCATATTAGATTTAAATTCTTAGTATTTCAGGCCTTTGATAATTTCAAGTCTTTCTTTTCAGTTGGTCAACAAAAATAATAACTTAAGGTTTTTATAAAACATACAAGATGGTTTTCTAGGCTCAGAGTAGATGTTTATAAGTAACTTTAGTGGGCCAGAGATTTAGCTCAGTGGTTCCATGGCCTGCCTTGCAAGCGCAAGGACCCAAGTTCAATCCCTGGTACCCCCCAAAAATAATAATAATTTTGTTAAGTATCAGAAGTCATAAGTGTAATAGAATTAGTTATAGATTATATGCATTGTATGTCATAGAATAAGTAACACTAGAGTCTGAGAAGGGGTACATTTGTACTATTTGAAAAAAAACTTTCAACCTTTTACTTTCTATCCCCTCCAGCACATGTTTGTTCTTCGGGAACGCCCTGAAACAGTGTTGATAGATCTTATTCAAAGAACAAAGGATGCAGTAAGAGAGCTGGACAATCTGCAGTATCGAAAAATGAAGAAACTCCTTTTCCAGGAGGCACATAATGGGCCAACAGTAGAAGCACAGGAAGAAGAAGAGGTAATTCATAAAATGACTGAAATCTTGAATTAGTTTTATTTCCTTGTGCAACTTTACCTGCCAAGAATTGTTTATATCAATAATTTCCAGGGTTGGGGGTTTAGCTCAGTGGTTCCGCTGTCTGCCTTGCAAGCACAAGGACCCAAGTTCTATCCCTGGTACCAAAAAAAAATTTGTTTTCCAAGTTTTGTTTTCTTAACATTGGTTCTGTAAGATCTCAGTCAGGTAAAAGGCATTTAATCATATTCTGTTGCATGCTCTAAACCCAACCACTTGATAGTACACATTGGCATGATAAAGGCCACTCTAGTTCATCTCATGTTTCTTGGTCATTGAACCACTTTTGAATAATCATCTAGTTCCATAGAACATGCTTTGGAATCACTTGAAGTATAGACTACAAGTTGACTGTACTCCCAAGTCATTAGAAAGTTACCAAGCATTCTACTGTGTCATTGAGGAAATGTGATTCTTTTTAGCTCAGCATTTTATTCTGTCTACAAGGTTCTAAAGTATTCATTTAAGACCAGGATGGTCAGGGGAGGGTGGGGGGGATGAAGGGAGGTTAGAGGTATGGGGAAAAAATGAGAACGAAGATCTAACATGTAAAGGTACAACAAGATCCCAAGTAACTGTACTGTATACTTTAAAAGTACCAATAAACTAAAAAAAAAAAAAAGACCAGGCATGGTGGCACATGCCTATAATCCCAACGCTTAGGAGGCTGAAGTAGGAGGATCACTATAATTTTGAGGCAAGCCTGAGCTACATTGTTCAAGGCCAGCCTGAATTACATAGTGATATCCTGACAATAAACAAGTAAATCATGTTATAGATGAGGAAAGCAAGGTTCAGAGTGGTTAACTTTATTACATAGGTAGAAGCACATGGGTTCAAATTCATAACTAATTCTCAAGGCCAGTTTCTGTTTTGCCTTTTAGGGAGAATGGTAGTATAGATGCACGATAAAAATGTTAATGAACTTCCTCATAAGGAAATATACATATAAAGTATATTATGTGTGAATTACTTTTTTTCCTCAATTTTTTTTGCCCCTTTCAGAATTCCAATATTTGATTTTTTCTCTTGCTTTTCAGTATGAGATTACTTTGCATTCTGATACTATGAGCAGTGTAGTTATTTTTCTTAGCTTTTGAATATCACTAATTTATAAACTATAAAATATAGGACCTATAATTTTTGTTTTGGGGCCTTTTTGGTTTTTGTTCTTATAATTATTAGAAAATTGTCTTGCCCTATTTTAGATGTGTAAAATGTTTTAGTGAAGTTATGAAATTAATACAGTTTTGTGTGGTTAAATGTTTAGCCCTAAGAAAAATCCTTTTATATATAAAAATATATAAAATATATAAAAATCCCTTTATATATAATATGTGTCTATATATATTAAATTCCATCATGTTGTATAGAAGTCTGATATAGTAAGACAACCATGATTTTGGTGCTCTGGTTTTGCTGCTGTCTGATTACTTTAGGAAAGAAACATCTGTATCTGTATGATAATTCTCCGTATATATCTGTAACACAATTCTTAATCTGTAGGAGAATAGGTAGGAATTAACAATAAAATAGCTAGTCGTAGCCGGGCGTGGTAGCATATGCCTGTAATCCCAGCACTCAGGAGGCTGAGGCAGGAGGATCACTGTGAGTTCGAGACCAGCCTGGGCTACATAGTGAGTTCCAGGTCAGTCTCAACTACATAGTGAGACCCTGTCTCAAAAAACCAAAAAAAAAAAAAAAAATGCTAGTTGTGGTGGCACGTGCATGTAATACTAGCACTGGGGAAACTGAGACAAGAAGATTGTTGTAGCCTGGGTTACACAGTGAGTTTAAGGACAGCTTGAACTACATAGTAAGACACTGTTTCCAAAAAATATACAAATGAATAAAAATATTTGGTGATATAAAATCTAAAGCCTATATTTTCTAGAAAGAAGAATCTACTTTGTAAAAGGCTTCAATAAAGAGTAAGAACTAAAAGGACCATTGAAAGGATTTTTAAATGAGTTTATATTAACCAAAAGTGACACTGAGAATTAAGCAAACTGCCTGTCCCCATGAGATTTTCTGTAGAAATACTTTTCAAAAAATATCAAGCAATTTACAGAAAATGGTATAAATTGGAAATTGCCCTCAAATAGGCTGGCGTTGTAGCTCAGTGGTAGAAGTATGCATAAGGCCCTGGGTTTGAGATCACCCAGCACTGATGACTTGCTTTTTCTCTCTCTCTCTCTCTCTCTCTCTCCCTCAGCAGTTGGGGTTTTAAAAAGTTTTTTTTTTTTTTTTTTTCAATTTACTTGTCATTTTTTGTTTCTATCCACAAATAGTTGCTAAATGTGAGGATCTCGAGTTTCTCCCATCTGTTGGGCATTTCTTCCAGAAGTTTCCTAGCTTTATTTCTAGTAATTATATACCAAGTAGTATGTGTACTAGATGCTTTAATCAAGAATTTAGGGGCCAGGGTTTTTAGCTCAGTGGTTTCACTGCCTGCCTTACAAGCACAAGGTTTTGAGTTCGATCCCCAGTACCCCCCCAAAAAAAGAATTTAGAAGACGGATAAATATTTTAATCTAACTCTCTTTTCCCTTAGGAACAAGATCATGGTGTTGGCAGGACAGGAACAGTGAATAGTGTTGGAAGTAATCAGTCTATTCCCAGTATGTCTATCAGTGCCAGCAGCCAAAGCAGTAGTGTTAACAGTCTTCCAGATGCCTCAGATGACAAGAGTGAGCTAGACATGATGGAAGGAGACCATACAGTGATGTCCAACAGTTCTGTAATCCATTTAAAACCGGTGAGTGTTTCAGTTTCTGTGAAAAATTTCAACTTCGATAAATTTCTTCATCTGAATAGTTTAAAAGGAGGTTTTCTTGAAAGTTTCAGACAGTTGGAATATTTTTTTAAATGGTAGAAGTCTTATTAATTCATAATTTTTTACTTAAATTTGGAAAACTAATATTTTGAAAACTACAAAAATAATATAGAACCATATAAAATGTTAGAAAAAAAAGAAATACTGTATATTATTTAAACTTCTTTGGAAAATAAAATCTTAAAAAGTAGGATACAGGGGTGGGGATTTGGCTCAAATGTTCCACCACCTGCCTTGCAAGCAAGCACAAGGGCCTGAGTTCAATCCCTGGTACCAAAAAAAAAAAAAGGTTACATATATTACCACTACATACAGTGTTTATTTTGGGGGAGTAAGAGAAGAAGTTGCGGTAGATAATGATCAAAAGTAGGGAGGCTGAGGCATTAGGATTGCAAATTTGAGCCCAGCCTAGGCCAAATAGCCTAACAAAACCTTGTCTCAAAATTTGAAAAAAGTGAAAAAGGAATGAAGATATTAGTGAGTACAGAGTCTCGGTTCAGTCACCAGTTCCGCCAAAAACAAAAAAGTGACTTGCATTATATCATTAGAATAAAACTCGGTGCAATTGTAGAAAATTATAATTGTACACTTTAGGAAAACTGGTTTTTGTTACTTTATTCTTTGTAGTATTGAGTTCAAATTTTAAAATTCCAACAAAAATATTGAAGTCAGGTAATTCCTCTTAACAGTTAGTAGGCATGCTTTCTTTTTAACTTCATAGCTTGCAGTATTACCTAAAAAGTTACTAGGCATAATAGCTAAAAGGAAACCACCCAAATGTCTGCCAGTAGATGAATGGTTAAATTGTGTTATGTACAGCCAGTGGGATATTACTCATCTATAAAAAGGAATGAATTTGTTCTGCTGCCTTACCTCGCAAGCGCAATGGCCCAAGTTTGATCCCTGGCACCAAAAAAACAAAACAAAAAAATAATAATAATAAATTTTTAAAATAGAAGGAATGAACTCACAAGTGTAAGGTCCTGAGTTTGATCCCTAGTATTGGAAAAAAGGGGGGGGAAAAAAAAAAAGGAATGAACTTTTGACGTATGCTCCACTATGGATGAATGTCAGAAGCATGTTAAGTGACATAATCCAGATGTAAAAGGACAAGTATTATGTAATTCAACTTAAAATGATGAAATATCTAGAGTAAGCAAATTAATAGGGATGGAAAGTAATTGAGAGGCTACCATGGACTGAGCAGAGGGCAAATGGAAGTTATTGCTAATGTATAGATTTTCTATTTGGGGTGATGGAAAAATTTTGGAAATAATAGTGATGGATACACAATACTGAGAATTTAATTATTGGAGCTCAAAATGACTAAAATGGCAATTTTTTTATTGCACATATATTAATACGTTAAGAATGACAGTTATGCCCATTGCAGTGATATGTAAAGCTGCTTGGGAGACTGAAGCAGGAAAATCACAAGTTTGAGGCCAGCCTAGGCAATTTAGTGAGACCCTGTCTTAAAAAGACATGGGGACAAGGGCCAGGGATTTAGCTCAGTGGTTCCGCTGCCTGCCTTGCAAGGGCAAGGACCCTGAGTTTGATCCCTGGTACCAAAAAAAAAAAAAAAGACATGGGGACATAGCTCATTTGGAGAACACTTGCCTAGCAGATGCAAGGTTCTAGGTTCAATCCCTGGTACACCCCCCCAAGAAAAAGAAAAAAGATAGTTAAGCAATAAATAGTATTATTCAGGGAAATTTTTGCTTTTAATTTTTTATATTCAAAGAGTAGAAATCAGTCATAAAAAGATTATTTGTACAGTTGATTACTATTTATTGACTTCCTCTTTAGTTGATAATCTGAAACAAGGACAAACACCATTGTATTTGTTGGGTGCTCTGGATTAAACCCAGGTCCTTGAACATGCTAGGCCAGCTCTTTACTACTGAGCAAAATCTGAGCCCAGTTCTTTAGTTTTTGCAATCATTTTTTATTGCTCATTTTGGACAGATGGCAAAAATATTATAAAGATAGCTTGAAGCTATAGTTTTTCTAAAACCTAAAAGCCTTTGAGTCATTAATTTTTATTAATATCATTTAAAATACTGGGTATCTGTATCATTTTCATTATATCAAAGCTTCCAGTTTTGCACATAATATGTAGGATATGAATCCAGCCATGTACATTTCCTTATCCTTAGTCTCTGTATTATTTCATACTCTGTGGAAATAATTTCTCATAATTCTAATTATGTTGAAAATAAAATAATGGCATTCTTCTGGGTTTTTTTCTTTTTAAAGTTATGCATGTGATATTTGTTGATCAAATTATCTTTAAACTCTTAATTTCTTTGAAGGTTCAAACAGAGTACTTATGCACCTTATATGATAATGACTTTTTATTTAGGAGGAGGAAAATTACAGAGAGGAAGGAGACTCTAGAACAAGAGCATCAGATCCACAGTCGCCTCCCCAAGTATCTCGTCACAAATCACACTATCGTAATCGAGAACATTTTGCAACTATAAGGACAGCATCTCTGGTATGTACTTTCCTGGAACTAGGGAGAAATATGTTTTTCATGTTGAATCTAGCAGTTTATCTGATTTTTTTGTATTTGGAATTTATTTTGCAAGATACTTATTCAACATTTAGGTACCTGTGTGAGAAAGATATGCAAAGCTCTCTGAGAAACATTAAACTAATAATAGCTTCAAGACTTGTACACAGATGATTAATAGTTTAGGATATATTCAGTACTTACAAGAACTACAAGATACTAAGCAGATATTCAGATAAGTTTTTATTAGGAGTGAAAAAAATATTTTTGAAAGAAATAGTTTGAGAATTTACAATTATTAGACACAAGGAAAGAGGAGCAGTGGTATTTCCACATAAAAGAATAGACAATAAGGCAGTATATTGCGTGAGGGTAACCAGAAAGGGCAGTTTTGGAAATGGCAAGTAATCCTATTTGGTATAGTCTAATTGTTATTCTAACTTTCCACATAATGATATAGATTATTTGTCCTTTACAAACATGCTATAGTAGGACATTTGTAACTGTTCAAGGAGACAAGTAGGACCAAAACATAATAAAGGATACTAGGAATAGAAAGAAATTACATTAAGATATGTAAAAAATAAGTTATTAGAATATATAATAAGAATTTTTAAAAAGATATGGGAGTTATCTGAGTTGCCAAATATATAGTAATATTAAATGTTCTCAAGGAAACTTTTACCCATATTTTTATTTTCTCAAATTAATTAAGGACTCTTTTAAATTACAGGTTTAGGCCAGGAATTTAGCTCATTGATACCACTGCCTGCCTTGTGAGTGCAAGGTCCTGAGTTCAATCCCTAGTACCAAAGAAAAAATAGTGGTTTTAATAAATAAAAAGCAGGAATAGATTTATATTATTAAACCCAGTAAATCCATTTATTGCAAGTGAAAAATTCAGCAGGTGTCTTAGTTTATTTTCTTGTTACTGAGACAGAGCACCTAATACGCATGTGTAAAGGAGGAAAGGTTTATTTTAGCTCACAGTTTGTAGAGGTTTCAGTTTATATTGGATGGTTCCAAGGCATGGTGGCATGGCAGAGGGTTATGGCAGAGGAGAAGCAATCCATGGCATGTCAGAAGTTTCTGATAGAAAATCATTTAACATGAGTAGATCTCTTTCCACAGTTTTGTTTTGTTTTTTTAAGGTGAGGTCTTGTATATTGCCTAGGGTAGCTATGAATTCCTGGACTCAAGTAATGCTCCCACCTGAGCCTCTGAAGTCACTGGGCCTACAGGCATGTGCTACTGTGCTTATGCTGTTTCCCTTGATCTTCTAGTCTACTCCATACAAATTTTAACAACTTATCTATTTCTTTGAAAAACATCCTGCAAATTTTCATTGGAAACTGCTAACATTGGATCTCTTACATTAATCATTTGTATAGTTAATAGTGTAGTGATATAAATACATTTAAAAGAAAAATGTTTTTGCTTTATTTTCTTTTTTTGTCCATTTTCCATTTTGTCTAGGTTACAAGGCAAATGCAAGAACATGAGCAGGACTCTGAGCTTAGAGAACAGATGTCTGGCTATAAGCGAATGAGGCGGCAACATCAAAAGCAACTGATGACTCTGGAAAATAAGCTAAAGGCTGAAATGGATGAACACCGCCTCAGATTAGACAAAGATCTTGAAACTCAGCGTAACAATTTTGCTGCAGAAATGGAGAAACTTATCAAAAAACATCAGGCTGCTATGGAAAAAGAGGTGGCTGATTCATTATTATTAACTTGCTTCTTTTAGCTTGTATCTACTTCACTAAAGCAGTTTTTGATGTTAGAGTATCAGTTCCCAAGTAAATTGACTGAGGAATGGGAGAAACATTTTTGTAACTTGTCTCAGGCTTTCCATAAATTGTTGATAGGTCAATCATTCCTAAAAAGGATTGTTTTTGTATGATTTTTCTCTTGCTAATTTTGTGTGTGCATTTTGAACATGAAAAAATGATATTTTGTTATCCAGTACTAAGTCTGTGAACTAATGGACTTTGGATCATTTCCTGATAATTCATAGCTTTATAATATCATAGTGAGTAAATCATTCAAGTATTGTAGGTTTTCGGTACTCTGCTTTTCTGAGAATTTTTATTAACAATCATTAGGTGATTAGGTCTCAAAGAGTCATTTATGATTCTCTGTGTTGTTTTTTGTTTGGTTGGTTGGTTGGGGTTTTTTTTGGTTTCAGGAATTGAACTCAGAACCTTGCGCTTGTGAGGCAGGCGGTATCACCACTGACCTACATCCCTGGCCCTTCTCTGTGTATTTTTTAGAATCCTTCCCTTAAGTTTATACAACATTCTTATATCAGAATAGTTGATGATTAATATATTCAGAGAATGAGATTGGAAATTAAGAGATGCTTATAAATATCTACCTTAGGATGTAGATGTATTTTTTAATATTGTAATTACATGAAACCTTTTCCTGTAATGTTTTTGGTATTCCCATCAGTTTCACTTTATTTTGCTAGTCATATTTGCCAAATGGAATATTTCTTAGTTAACATGGTATCATCAAAATATGTTCAGTTAGTTTGTATTGAAGATTTATTTGTCGTAGCTATCTTATTCTTCCTCCACCCCTCAAAAAAAGGAAAATAAAAACCTCTCACAGTTGTAATGAATTTGACAAAAGAAAGTACAGTATAAATAAATATTTAATTTGAAATAATTTGATTGAACAGTATACCGATATTTGGAATTCTGTTAGGTGTTGGGTGGTATTTTTAATAGCTTGAGAAGAGGTAGATACTAATAAACTGTATTTAGAAATGTGTTCATGAAACAGGATATGCAGTGTGATTAAAAATTTGTTAAGGCCCAAGGATTTAGCTCAGTGGTGCTGCCACCTGCCTCTCAAGCACAAGGTTCTGAGTTCAATCCCCAGTACCAAAAAAAAAAAAAAATGGGGGGGAATAAAAATATGTTGAAATATTTATGTCCTGGAAATAAATAGGATTTGTATGCAGCAAAATGGTTACTTAGGTTATTATCTCTGGATACTAACGTCATGTGAAATTTTTCTTCTTTTTTCCCTCCATATTTCTTAAATGTTCTAAAATGAATATATATTACATATATAATTTTAAAACAGTTTGAAACATTTATTTGGTAATTTCATATTATTTTTTGTATAAATTAGAGATCAGGGTTTAATTGGAAGGTAAATGTATTCCATTTAATATATAAGATAATCTTGGTAAAAAGATCATAATGTAATTTTACTTAAAAGATAAATATGTATTTGTATTGGGGTTTTTTGGGTGAGGTTAAAGAATATATATTCCTGTTAAACAAAAAGAGGTGAACATATTTTGGCCCAGTAAGTGATTTTTTGGGGGCGGGGAGTACTGGGGGTGGAACTCAGGACCTTGCACTTGTGAGGCAGGCAGCGGTATCACTGAGTTAATTCCCTGGCCCAAGATATCAAATTTTAAACATTCTGAGAAACAGTGTTACTAATTAGGTTAGGTATTTTGTATTAATGATATTTCTACTAATTTTTTCTTAGTATGTATATCAAACCTTTGTTTTGAATATATCTGCTTAACTAATCTGATTAATTTTTAAAATTTCATATAGGCTAAAGTGATGACCAATGAGGAGAAAAAATTTCAGCAACATATTCAGGCCCAACAGAAGAAAGAACTGAATAGCTTTCTGGAGTCCCAAAAAAGAGAGTATAAACTTCGAAAAGAGCAGCTTAAGGAGGTACTTATTTTATAAAAATTTCATGCTATGGGCTTATTAATTATATTCAGTGATCATTACTGGGTGTGGTGGTGCATACTTGTAATCCCAGTACTTGAGAGGCTGAAGTAGGATTGCTGTGAATTCAAGACTAGCCTGGGTGCCATGGTGAGTTCAAGGCTCGCTTGCACATTACACAGTGAGACCCTCTCAGAAAAGGGGCAGGGTTTATATTCAATGGTTCTTAACTCATGCAACCATTAGGATGAAACTTTCTTTTGTTGGTTGTGGCCACTTAATTTATATCAGCTTATTTGAAAACATGGATTATAATCAGTTACCCTTAAGTAACTCTTGTAGTCAATAGGTCTAAAAAGAACCATTTCATTATTTCATTTATTCCCTTAGAAATAAAAATATTTGAGCTGTGTAAAAAAACCCACATATTTCTTACTTTAAAAGTAAGCCAGAGCTGGGAATGTAGCTCAGTGGCACTGCGTTTGCCTTACAAGCACAAAGTCCTCTGAGTTTGATCCCTGTACCAAAAATAAAACAAAAAAGTAAGCCAGGCCAGGTATGATGGCACATGCCTATAATACTAGTGTTTAGGAGGCTGAGGCAGGAGGATTGTGAGTTTGAGGCTAACATGAGACATGAGCTACGTAGCAAGATCCTGTCTCCAAAAAAAAAAAAAATTTTTTAAAAAAAAAAAAAAAAAAAAAAAATAGACAACACAGTGAGATCATGTCTCAGACAACAAAAATATAAACCATACCTTCTTAATTTTGATACTAAAGAGTACAGTAATTTGTTATTTTGCCAATTTTAGCGTAGCGTAAGACATATTTTCTTTAATAGTTGTCTTAGTCACTTTCTCATTGCTAAAACAAAATATCTGACACCTGCAACTTAAAGGAAGAGAGGTTTATTTGGGCTCACAGTTTTTATGAGTTCTATCCCATGGTTCAGGGATAAAAGAGCATGTCAGAAAGTATAGTGAAGGAAAACCATTTATGTTGTAGTGATCAGAAGGCGGTGAGAGAAGGAAGAATATTAGGAGGGAGATAAGCCCTTCCAGGTCACAACCTCAGTGATGCACCTCTAACCAGGCCTCAGCTCTTTATAGCACACTTGGCTACTGAATTCATTTGTGGGATGAATCCACTGATGAATATTATGCCCCCAATAATTAATCATATACCAAAAGCCTGCCTCTGAGCAACTGAGTTTTGGAGGACATTCTAGATCTAAACCATAATAGGAGAATATGCTATTTTTGTATGGCTACATGATGTCATATTTATTTGCCCCCTATGTCTACTTTATAAACTTTTAAAAGTAGATGTAGTCTGGGGCCAGAGATTTAGCTCAGTGGTTCCAGCACCTACTTCGCAAGCACAAGGACCTGAGTTTGATCCCTGGAACCAAAAAAAAAAGATGTAGTCTAAAGGTCATGAGTTCAATTCCCAGTACCCCCCCAAAAAAAGTATATGTAGTCTTAACTTTGAAAAAAGCCTTAATTATCCCAAGACCTTTTTCTTTTTTTTTTTTTTTCTTTTTGGTACCAGGAATCGAATTTGGTTCTCTGCGCTTTAAGGCAGGCAGTAGAACCACTGAGCTAAATTCCCAACCCCCAAGACCCCTTTCTTTTTCCTATAGTATGAAGGATTGAAGCTAAATCCCTCATATTAAGCTACTTCCCCAACCCCTTTTTATTTTTATTTTTTGAGGCAAGGTCTTAGTCATTAAGTTGCCCAAACTTGCTCTACTCCTTACCTTGATCCCTAGAGTGCTGAAATTATAGGTGTGTACCACCACAGCCGGCTCTGAGACACCTGTTGAAAATAAGTAATTCAGGATAATAGCCAATATAGAAAAATGAAATGTCTTAATTTATCCCCCCTCTTACAGACTGACTGAAATGTTTAATCTGTATAATTAATTAGCACACTGGTAAATAAATTGATCTTGATAAAATAAGAGTAATCTGTGACACTGAATGTGTGTGCATGCACAGGTGTGTGTATAGGAATTTATATGTGTCTTATTGTCTACACATTGGTGGCCCAGAGATTTGCTGTATACCCTACCAAGTAAGCTTCAGTGGTAATAATTTTCCAATTACAGAGTGAACCTGAAATATATTTCTAACAGTACTGTACAGAATCCAAGCTCTTTAAAAAAGAAACTAAGGGCCAGGAATTTAGCTCAGTGGTGCTGCCACACCTGCCTTTCAAGCTCAAGGACCTAAGTTTGATCCCTGGTCCAAAAAAAAAAACTGAGAATCCAAACTCTAAACTGGAACATTGAATCTGAAAATACTGGGTATGTCAATAACTAACTCAGTAAATAGTAAAGGCCTTGTCTAGCATGTTTAAAAGCCCATGGTTCAATCTTCATTAAATCCCTTAACCCCAAAAAAGGATTATAAGTAGGATTCCCAGCTATACATAAATAATTAACATCTAGCAAAATGTAGTTGTATATTTTTGTTTTCTGAAAAATGATACCTTATAGGTTAATTGCTTTAGGTAATATTTTTGATATAATTTATAGTCAGCCTAACAAATTAACTTTCTTTTGGAAGACAGACAGATCTTTTTATTTATTTATGTTCATTTAAAGTAATGATGGTCAATATAGAAGGTACATAGAGTCTTGGTGGGAAATTCTCTGGCTGAAGATTTTGAAAAAAATCAGATAATTCTTCATGTATATGCCCATTGTCTCATACAAATACATACTATGAAGTACTAATTTATATGCTTCTAATTTTTATGTATTTGGATACATTTTATAAACTAAAACTAGAAAAATTAGTCTCTTTCTTGAATGAGAGAAAGAAGACAAATAGGCCAGGATTTAGCTCAGTCATGCCGCCACCTGCCTCGCAAATGCAGGGTCCTGAGTTTGATCCCCAGTACCGGTCAGTCAATCAATCAATAAATAAAAGATAAGGTATAGTAGTCGCTGAAGAATTTTTTTGTACTTGGGAAATACAGCTCATTTATATATTGTACAATGTGATGCTCTAATGTTGAAAATATACCTTGTTAGCATATTGCAGTTTGACTTGTTGAATATATTGTCACTTTTTTATTTTGCTCAACATAAGTGAATTTAATTAAAACTGCGAGATGATATTTAAAATAAAATCATTGGTTTTGATTCAGTGGTTATTTTTTTGAAAATTAAATACCATTTATAAATCAAGTTTCTATTCTCCCCTGGTTTTGTTGATTTCTCATTTAATTTACAGTTCTTTTATGTTGAGTCCATCCATAATTTTGCCAAAGGTTTATTATCAAGTATGTTAAACTCTAAGAATTGAGATGATGCTAAATTGTGTATTAGCTAGCCTTAATTTTAACTAACAAATAATTTATACCTGAAAACACTGCATTCTCTCTCTTCTTGGAAAATTTTTGTTTGTTTGTTTGTTTGTACCAGGGACTGATCTTGGGTCCTTGAGCTTGCAAGGCAGGCAGTGGCACCACTGAGCTAAATCCCCAGCCCCTCATCTTGGAAAAGTTTTAAGAGAGGATGTGTTTTCTTTATTACCCAGTCATTGTATGCTTTTAAGCTAGAAACCTAAAATATAGCTGTGTAAAACTAAAAGATACACTTGTTTTCTGACAGTTGTATATGTCTCTTCTTTCCATCCTATTTCATGAATGATTCAATAAAGACGAATGTAGCTGCGCATTGTTTTGCATATCCCTGTAATTCCAACACTGGGAGGCTGAGGCAGGATTGTACATTCAAGCCCAGCGTGGGTAACTTAGCAAGACCCTGTCTCAAAATAAAATATGAACAAAGGGGCTGGCAGTACAGGTTGGTGCAAAGGTACTAGATTCAATTCCCTGTGCAGGGAAAAAATAAAAGAAAATATTACCTATTTTCTCCAAATTATCAGCCTGCTTAAAGCCAGGCACGGTGGCACACATCTGTAATCGCAGTACTCAGGAGGATGAGGCAGGAGGATAACCGTAAGTTCAGTCTGAACTGCACAGTGAGATCCTGTCTCAAAAAAAAAATCAAAACCCCGCTTGAGCATTAGAAAAACACATGGGTTTTGTTTGTTTGTTTTTTGAGACCTCACTGTGTCGTTCAAGCTGGCCTTGAACTTACTATGTAGCTTGGGCTGGCTTTGAATTCGCAGCTGTCCCCCTGCCTCGGCCTCCCATGTGCTGGTATTACAAGGTTGATTCATCACATCTGACTTAAAACACATCTAAATTTACTATTATACTAAATGATACATTCATTTCGTTAAGTTTTATATATTTTGAACTGAGATGTGTTTTATGTTGCCAGGAACTGAATGAAAACCAGAGCACCCCTAAGAAAGAAAAGCAAGAATGGCTTTCAAAGCAGAAAGAGAATATACAGCATTTCCAAGCAGAAGAAGAAGCTAACCTTCTTCGGCGTCAGAGACAATACCTGGAGCTGGAATGCCGTCGCTTCAAAAGAAGAATGTTGCTTGGGCGCCATAACTTGGAGCAAGACCTTGTTAGGGAGGTATGTTTGAATCATGTGAAATTTATCAACGCAATCTTTCCTGAATCTATGCCAATCACTTCCCGATCTCAGGGACCTTGTACTTTACTTCATTTCCCTTTACCTGAGTCACTTTTCCTTAAATATTCACAAGACTTGCTTTCTCCCTTCTTTATATCTGTACTCACATCACCTCTCCAGAGATGCCTTCTTGACTGCCATATCACTCTCTCCCTCTCTCCTGGAAAAGAAAATTTGTCTTCCTCACTAGAATTGAAGTTGGATAAGGGCCAGGGATTTAGCTCAGTGGCACCACTCCTGCCTCGCAAGCTATAAGGTCCTGAGTTCAATCCCTGGTACTAAGGGGCGGGGGTGGGAGTGGGATTGAAGTTATATGAAGCCAAGCTTTGTTCAGTATTTTTTTTTCTGGTGTTGAAGATTGAACCCAGGGTCTTTGCACTGAGCTACATCCTTATGGAGCTACATAGAGGCTCCTGGTAAGTTGCCCCTGGTCTGGAACATGTGATCCAAATGCCTCAGTCTCGCAGAGTGCTAAGATTACAGATATGTGCCACTGTACCCGACTGTTTACTTCTTTATATTGCCACTGTGTTTGATACACAGGAGGCATTCAATAAAAATTAATATGAGTAAAAGAAATATCAAATTTTATATATGAAGAAATTAATTGGGCATACTTTGCCTCTTTGATCTGAAATGAGTGTTATATGTGTTGCCATTTAGCACGTTTCATAATGATGCTAATTATTAATTGAGCAAATATTGTAAAAACTCCTTGTGCCAATGAAAATAGTTGTTCTCATTAAGAGGATATTTTAGTCTGCCTTGGTGGTGCACACTTATAATCCCAGCATTTTGGGAACTGAGACAGGAGAATCATAAATTTGTGCCCAATTTGAGCAACTCCAGGACTTAGCAAGACCCTGTCTCAAAGCTGGGAAGGGGGTTGTCATACCACATAAAGGTCCTGGATTACCCTCTCTTCCCAAAAAAGACAATACCTATGAATATAGATAAATTTATTTGCAATAGTTGGCTGTAAGCTTCAAATACAGAATAAGTTCATAAATTCACAAATACTGAAAAAAATTTAGATAAGAAAAATTGAAACAATTGATAATATCATCTGTCTTAATTAATTTTCTCATTGCTGAGACAAAATATCCAACACTCAGAGTTAAAGGAGGAAAGGTTTATTTAATCTCACAGTTTATATCAGTTTTAGTCCATAGTTGGCTGGCTCCAAGGCCATGCTGCATGGCAGAGGAGGAACAGTTCATGTCATGTCAGGCAGGAGGCAGCAAAACAACAGCAGCCAGCCTGCCTTCTTCCTGTCCCTTTATAGTCCATCCAGTCTATAAACCTATTGATTAGTGCCACCCACACCCAAGGTAGGGCCATTATCCACACTCTTATTCCCAGTACCTCACTCCCTTAATCCCAGTATCCCTTAATTCACATTCACATACCCTAATCCAACCACCTTCAAAATTCCCCACCTGTGACTACGTAAGACTTCAGGGCAGTGTCTAGATATAACCATAACATCAGTCCTAGTAGTGCTATTGGTTAACAGACAACATTGGTAAGAGTATACATTGATACTGCCCTTTTGGAGCATAATTTAACAGTAGCTTTTACATATGCTTTTAAGTATCAGATCTTCTGGAGTTCTGTCCTACAAAAATAAAAATGTGATTATATTGTGTAGCATACATAAATGTTTACTGAAACTGTAAAAGCAAAAAATGGAAACAGCTCAAGTGTTGATCACATGGAGGGGTTGAAAATGTGGTATCACAGAACAGTCATTTTCAGTGAAACTTTGAAAAGTCTTTATGTGCTGATTTGATCCAGATATATATGCATAATATTAAGTAAAGAAAAAAGCTGCAGGCCGGGGATTTAGCTCAGTGGTTCTGCTGCCTTCCTTACAAGCAGAAGGACCTGAGTTCGATCCCCAGTACCAAAAAAAGAAAGAAAAAAAGTTGAATGCCTATAGTGTGTATATTATTAAAACTTCATTTTAAAAATAATTACTATATTGGGCTGGGGATTTAGCTCAGTGGTTCCGGCGCCTACCTCCCAAACAGAAGGATCTGAGTTCAATCCCCAGTACCAAAATAATAATAATAATAATAATAATAATAATAACAACAACAATAACTACTATCACAACAAATCATGGGAAGGGTGAAAAGCATATACACCATGATGTTGGCCCCCAGGGGAAGTGTTTGTAGGGAAAAAGGGGGCAAGTTTGATTTTGATTGACATAAAACACATGTATGTACTTACTCGATTTGAGGAAAAAAAATTACAAAGAATAACATTGAACAACATGTGCTAGGTGTATTGAGGACCTTTTATTCAGGAACTTATTTCTTCCTCACATTAAATCCATGAAATAGGGCAGGGAATGTAGATCAGTGAGAGAGTGTGTATTTAGCATGTGTAAGACTGGATTCATGCTGGAAGGGGGAAAAGGTCATAGAATCCTAGTATTTACTATGCAGCCATTTACTGAAGCAGAGGGTTAATTATATTCCTTTCCTGGTTATTCTTTTTCTTAGGGTTTTTTTTCCTTGCACTGTACAACAGTAAATTAGCCAGGCCTGGTGGCACACACCTATAATCCCAGCACTCAGGAGTTTGAGGCAGGAGGATCATCAGAATTCAAGGCCAGCCTGGGCTACCTACTGAGTTCAAGGCTAGCCTGAACTATATAGTGAGACCCTATTTTTGAAAACAAACAAACAGGGCTGGGGGTTTAGCTCAGTGGTCCTGCTGCCTGCTTTGCAAGCACAAGATTCCGAGTTCAATCCCCACTACCAAAACAAACAAATAAAACCAGTACTTTTTAATGCTTTTGTCTTCTGTGTTCTACATTAGGAGTTAAACAAAAGACAGACTCAGAAGGATTTGGAGCATGCCATGCTACTGAGACAGCATGAATCCATGCAAGAGTTGGAGTTCCGCCACCTCAACACAATTCAGAAGATGCGCTGTGAGTTGATCAGATTGCAGCATCAAACTGAGCTCACTAATCAGCTGGAATATAATAAACGAAGGGAACGAGAACTAAGGCGAAAGCATGTCATGGAAGTTCGACAACAGCCTAAAAGTTTGAAGGTACCTTTAGTGTAAACTCTTGACAAAGGGGAAAAGAGAAAAAGGCATCCACGTAAGCAAGAAAAGTCTAATCATTAAAAAATTTAATTTTTTTGCACTTTGAGCATCTTTGGTGTATTTCAGTGGTGGAGTGGCTATCATTGTAAGCTTGCATTTGTGTATTTCTCATTAAAGTACAAAACATGGCCCAAACTTTTAACTGTGGGGAACACCAGTAAATAAGCAGTCAGAGTTGTTATTTAAATGTACCCAATATCCATTGCTCCTGTTATATTTTATATGAAAACATGCTCACCTTTTGGCTTGTCTTTTTGTTGTTGTTGTTTTGGGGATCAAACTCATGACCTTGTGCTTGTGAGGCAGGTGGCGAAACCACTGGGCTAAATACCTGGCCCCTTTGGCTTATCTTTAGAATCTTAATTTGCTCTGAGTTTTACAAAATTCAAAAATAGAAAAATAAATGTTTCTCACTCTTCTCTTTTTCCTTTGCCACCTGATCTAGTCCCCTTCACCAAATTTATGAGTTAACAATGCCAAGAAATTTTCATGTTTTATACCTTTTAATGACTAAAGATTTAAATGAATCTTAATAAAAACACTACATATGTTCTCATCAAAGATAGAACCTCATTTGATCTGTACATATCTGCACATTCAAAAAATTTTTTTTCTCTTTTGGATTTTTCGAGACAGGGTCTTGCTCTGCAGTTCAGGCTGGCCTTGAACACACTGTATCCCAGGCTGGCCTGGAACTTGCAGCAATCCTCCTTCTGAGTATTGGGATTACAGATGTGCACCACCATGCCCTGCTAGTATTTGTTATTGAAAGACTCCTTTCCCTTCCCAGTCTTCACCCCTTTCCAATTCCTTTTAAAACTGTTTAATATTTAAGCTACAAACACAAAAACTATTCTCATCTTTACCCTAAATAACCGTTCTGTAATAAAATGAACATCATTCACAAAGGTAATATTTGTCAAACTCTAGAAGCTACAACACACCCAGTGGTGTTCTTAGTGCCCCACCCCTTCATACAAAATGTACAGTCAGAGTTAAGGTGCTTTACTCTTCCCATATAAACTAGAGTAAAATTTTACTTTGTTGTATCTTCAAAACTGTGAAGTTCCCAGCCATGGTGGCACATACCTATGATCCCAGCTCTGTGGGAGGCTGAGGCAGGAGTGTAACAGTTCAAGCCTAACCTGGGCAACTTAATGAGATCCAGTCTCCAAATTTAAAAAGGGGCTGGAGGGACTGGGAATTTAGCTCAGTGGTTCCACTGCCTGCCTCGAAAGCTCAAGGACCCAAGTTCCATCGTGGGTACCCAAAAAAGGGGTGGGGGGCTGGAGATGGAGCTCAGTGTACCACAAAAACAAAGCAAACTCACATCATTTGCAGAGTAGTTATGTTGACTTCCAATTTAGCCTTACCTGGTTGATGCTTAGAAAATAGTGATTCATAAAAATTTTAGATTTATTTTGTTTGTACTGTGGAGAAGGATATATAATTATTTGGCTATAGGCTAATCTCCCACCAAAGATTTTTAAATCTGATGTGACATTTCTCTAGGATATGGGTGATGAATAGTTGTTTGACTTTAACTCTTTCTGTGTCCTGTTTGTAGGCTTTTTCAGTTTGAGGGCTTGTAAAAAGTAACCTGGTATTTTCAGATACTACATGTGAAAAGTGAGGAAAAAATAATACAGACTTTTTAAAAAATCCCTCTTTCTGATGACAGTCAGTTCAATGTTTTCTTCTAATAGGGAGGAAAAATCACTAATTTCTTCTTATTTGCATTTATCTACTACTTGGTTAATTTGGGGGAAAAAATCCTTAGATTTTAGCATCAAATCATCACATTTGTATTCACTCAAATAATAGTGGCTTCATCCAACCTATAAGACATTAAATTGAAGAAGAGAAGATTTCAGTTTGTTACTTGTATATAATTAAGTAGGATTTGTGGGGGAGGGGTACTGTCTCTTTTGAATGAGTTGAGTAAAAATCAGCTCTTCTTTTTCTTCGATGCTATCGTTATGATCACTTTGTCAGTATTATATGAGCAAAAATAACTGTTACATTCTTCTTATTTTCACTGGAGTCAAGCTTTGAGGTGTAAGCATTAACCTTAACCCTTGTTGAAAAATTTCCCAAGTTTTTTGTCTCATTAGGAATTACTCATGGAATGACTGCAGTTTGCTTGGCACATTAAAATTTTTTAAAGAATAAAGGGGATTTAGCTCACCGGTTCGGTGGCCTGCCTTGCAAGCGCAAGGACCCTAGTTCAATCCCTGGTACCAAAAAAAAAAAAATAGAGGCTAATATTAAGAGGCAGCAGACAGTGTCTGTATTCATTGTTCCATTTCTTTGGAAGCACTTGGGAGAACTTTGTTAACAAAGAACAGTATTTAGTGGGCTGGGGATTTAGCTCAGTGTTTCTTCCACTGCCTGCCTCTCTAAGTGCAAGGACCCAAGTTCGATCCCCGATACCAAAAAAATGAGCAAACAAACAAACAAGAACAATATTTAAGAGCAGCACTACTTAGCATTGTTAAACCAACAGTTATTACTAGCTAGTCATTTCTTTACCCCTCACATAATAAAGACATATGAGCAGGACCTGCAGCCTCAGTTGGTTAAAAATATGGAAATATTTATATTAATGTAATGTTGTGGGAGTGGAGATACTGTTTCCTAGACAATTGTGTACATTTGATCATATATGCATTTGTTGCATGTACAGCGAGTCAACCAGTTGATCCAGTATTTATTTTAAAGTAAAATAATTTCAGTTGTGGATTCCTTTTTCTGTGTAGTAAGTGAATTTTGCTTATAGGCTCAACCAGTATAACTTACAGAGTATATCTTATTAAAACTTTTTATAAACTTGAATTATTACAATAATATCTAGCCCAGTGAGTAACCAAAAGACAAAGCCTTGTGCCACCAGACTCGTATTATTTTATTTGAGAAATGTTTAAATTGTTAGTTACCACTCCAAGAAAAGGGTTTCCCTTTCCATGCTCCATAATTTTGTTCAACCTTTAAAAAATTAGTTAATTTATTTTCAGTTTTGCTGTTGTATTACAGAGTAAACTATTATTAAGTATATTTCTACCTCATTTATTCTCTTAAGGAAAAAATAGAATAACAATATTAATTAGTTACTAATACAGACTTTCAAGTCAAGCTCAGATTTGATACATAAATCACACAAAAAGTAGAGTCTGTTACACATTACATACTTGAGTTTAAAATTGTTGTTAAAAGAAATTGGAGTAAAGCATTTCAGGTGAAGAACTACATAAATATGTTTTATTTTTTGCCTGAGATATCTGATAAAATTTGCCTTCCCAATCAAGTGATTTGTATATACTTCACTTAATTCATGAGAATAAATTTGATTTTGCCATGAGTGCATATAGTAATCAAAATAAATTTTAATATTTATCCAAGTTGCTAAATTTACTAGTGAAAAAGCAAGCCTGCTTGAACTCTTCTGATAAATTAGAGGTTTTGTTGTAAAACTGCATAGAATCCAATAGTTTGGCTCAATAGCCACATGTAGAAATACTTGCAACCATGTAACCCTTTTGATTTCCCTCTCTTTCTTGCATCTCTCCACACACACCAGGGATCAAACTCAGGACCTTGCACTTGTCAGAAAGAAACAGTGTAGCTGAGCTACACCCCTGACCTTCTCTTTTTCTTAGTAGCCCTAATTTGTATATAAGTATAAGGTATACCAAATATTGTATGTTGAATCTTATATACATCTGTTTTTTTCCTTCCCAGTCTAAAGAACTCCAAATAAAAAAGCAGTTTCAAGATACCTGCAAAATCCAAACCAGGCAGTACAAAGCATTAAGAAATCACCTACTGGAGACTACACCAAAGAGTGAGCACAAAGCTGTTCTGAAAAGACTCAAGGAGGAGCAGACCCGGAAGTTAGCCATCCTGGCTGAGCAGTATGATCATAGCATTAACGAAATGCTGTCCACACAGGCTGTGAGTTTGCTTTGTTTAGGCAAAACAAATTTAGTTCTCTTTGCCTTCTTCCATCTAAATAAAATTCTAGCAAGTAAAATATTAATTGGAATCCAGGAATGATAGCACATATCTGTAACACCAGCTACTTGGGAGAATGAAGCAGGAAGATCTTACATTAGAGGCCAACCTAGGCAATTTAGCAAGACCCTGTCTCAAAATTTTAAAAGGAGGTTGGGGGTTGGTGATACACTTCATTGCAGTTCAGTGATATAGCGTGCACAAGATCTTGGGTTCAATTCTTAGAGCCAATACATTTTTTATACATACATACATTTATATGGTAGAAATGATAGCTGTTCTGAAACTAGGGAATTAGTGGTGGTCCATATTCTTTCTGCTGTCACCATTGGTTGGAAATATCATGATGTATATAGAATGAGGTTCTATGTCGGCTCCTTGCAGGAGTAGATCCCAACAATTTATCAACATTACAGCAGGAGCTTTGGTAAACTATGGACAAAAAGTAGTATTATAAGACAGGTATGGTGGAACATACCTGTAAACCCAGCACTCTGGCGGGAGGGGGGCGCGGCTGAGGCAGGAGGATTGCCAATTTCAAGCCCAACCTGGACAATTTAGCAACTTAGTAGAAACCCTTCTCAAAATTAAAAATGAAAAAGGCTGGGCACATCTTAGTGCAAAGCACAAAGGTCCTCAGTGCTGGAGGTGGGGGAAAAATACTATTCAGTATTAGGAATTAAAATGGTTACATTTGATTGCAAATATGAAATATTTTGCAGACTTTTTCTTAATGGGCCAGATTATGAATATCTTAAGCTTTGCTGACAAGGAGGCAAGATCAAAGATATTATGTGATTATTTATATAATTATTTAAAATGTGATCATTTCAAAATATGAAGAGCATTCTTAACTAGTGGGCTATAACAAAACAAAACAAGTGCCTAACAGGATTTGGCTTATATGCTGTAGTTTGCTGGTCTCTTCCTATAGATGTTTCCACTAAGGAAGAAAGAGTCAGAGTTTAATATTATCTAAGGTTTCTCTTATAAAGAATGTAGTTATTCAGGCATTCTATAAATAGCTTGATAGCTTTATTTATCTTCATAATGCCATCACTGGTTATTGTTTTATTTTCATAGATGTTTATTCTGTGATAAATAAGAGAAAATAATTGTGTCACCTACAAAACAATAGTCTGTCTCTGTTATTCTTCCTCATTTCCATATGTCCTGAATGGATAGCTCACAGTAGGTTATATCTGTTTTCTTTCTCAGCTGCGTTTGGATGAAGCACAGGAAGCGGAGTGCCAAGTTTTGAAGATGCAGCTGCAGCAAGAATTGGAGCTGTTGAATGCATATCAGAGCAAAATCAAGATGCAAGCTGAGGCACAACATGATCGAGAGCTTCGGGAGCTTGAACAGAGGGTCTCCCTCCGCAGAGCACTCTTAGAACAAAAGGTATATATTATAGGAAAGGGCTGGGGGTTTACTCAGTGGTGCTGCTGCCTGCCTCTCAAGCGCAAGATCCTGCGTTCATTCCCCAGTGCCCCCAAAAAGGAGGAAAGTGATTGTTCAAGTATTTGCTTTTATCAGAATCATTTTGTAAATACATTTTTATATTGACAGGTTACATTTCTTTCACGATGCTATATTTCCTTCTGGTTTGGTAGTGGATTTTGGGTTTGTTTTTGTTTGGTTTTTTGTGGTTTTTTTTTTTTTTTTTTTTCTTTAAAATTTTTAATTCAAATGAATCAA